TCTCTCTCCACTATTCCTGCCCTGACTATCTCTTTGCCATAGGTAGTCCTCTTACCTGGTTCAGAAATTCCTGAGAAAAGCAGGGCAGACGCCAACAGCAAATTCAAGGTTAGGAGAACATAAACGTCACTGTCCAACCCTGAACACTTGCCTCTCTGTCCACTCATGAACCCCAGCCCCAGCTAGCAGCCTGTGTACCTGGTAGAGGCCAAGCAGATTGTGTCCCAGTCTCTGGAAGAAGCCGGTGTTTGTGTGGTACCTCAGCAGAGAGCTGTTTCTCCACTGCTGCAGGGGGGTCCTGTTGGGCACGTGCCAGATGCCCAGGTCCTCAGCCTGGATGTCGTAGTAGCCCGGGTTCTGAAAAGCAGCAGACACTGAGCCTGACCACACCATGAGGTCCCAGAAGGCCAAAGGCCTGCAGATGCAGCCTCCGCTGAGCTGAGCTCTGGGCTCTAGGTGGGCAGGGGTCAGCCATGCTCAGACACCCCCACTTCCAGTGGGCGACCTCCCCCGACCGCCCAAGGTCCTCCCAGCCTTGCGGGGATAAAGCTGTGATGCAAGACACACACGCCTGTCTTTCTTCTTTTTCATCCCTATCTCCACACCCCACTCCCTCCTGGACGTGTGTGGCCACCACACTCCATCCCCCACCGTCTCCCAAGTGGCTGGGAAGTATCACCACCTTGTAGTCATCACTTGTGGCTGCCTCTGCAGACCCGAAGGTGTTGTAGTTGGCCCAGTTGCCGTCCCCCTCCGGGTAGTCTGCTCTGTTTCCCTGCTGGCTGGACCAGCGGTCGCCCAGTGTACACTTCCCATGCATGTTGTTCTCATGCACGCTGGCCACCAGGGTCCAGCCGCCGCCCCCTGAGGTCATGTCACAGAAGGTCTGGTAGATGACACCATTCTCGGTGCGGAGGAAATACAGGCCGTCTGTAGAGAGAATCAGCCCAGAGCCTTCCTGTCTGAGTGCTCTGATCCATCTCAGCCCCAGGACCCAGAGAGATCTAGGAACCAGAAAAATGGCCTGAAGTCTCCTCTAAATCCCATCATCAAGTGTTCCTAGGGGTACTTGAGTCTCCCTGAGTGCAGAAGACCATGTTCCTGTGACTGATGCAGAACTCAGAATGATCAAAACTCCCAGTACGTTCTTCATGAAGTTAAACATAGTTATCACAGGACCCAGACAGCCCCAAATAATGGAAAACAGAGCCTCCAACAGTGCATTTGTGTCAATGTTCGTTGCAGCATCAGTCGCAAGAGCCAGAAAATAGAACCAACTCGAATATTCATCAATAGATGAAGGGGTAAACAAAATGCGTGTGTGTGTATGTGTGTGTACACAATGGATAAAAAGGAATGAAATATTCATGCTACAACATGGACAGACCTTGAAAACTTCATGAAATAAGCCAGACACACTAGCCGGGCATGGTAGCATGCGCTTGTATTTCCAGCTACTTGGAAGGCTGAGGCGGAAGGATCACCAGAGCCCAGCAGGTCGAGGCTACAGTGGCCGGGAGCAGCCACTGCACTCCAGTCTGAGTGACAGAGTGAGACTACAACTCAAAAAAAAAAAGAAAGAAAGAAATAAGCCAAACACAAAAGGACAAATACCGTATAATTCATTTACATGAAACTAGAATAGGCAAATTCATCAAGACAGGAAGTAGAACAGCGGTTACCAGGGACTGGGGAGAGAGAACACAGAGTGGTTGCTTCACAGAGCTTCTGCTGGTGCGATGAAAACGTTCTGGGTGTAGATAGTGATGGTTGTACAACATTGTGAATATAATTAATGTCACTGAATTGTACAATTTAAATGGATTAAAATGGCAAAGTGTATTCAATATGTAATATATATAGTTTACCACAATTCCTTTTTAAATTTTAAAAAATGGTGGGCCAGGCATCGTGGCTCAAGCCTGTAATCCCAGCACTCTAGGGGACGTAGACAAAAGGATTGCCTGAGCTCAGGGGTTCGAGACCAGTCTGGGCAACTTGGTGAGACCTGTCCTACCATAAAGCAAAAAAAAAAAAAAAAATTAGCCAGGCATGGTGCCACATGCCTGTTCCTCCAGCTACCTGGAAGGCTGAGGCGAAAGGATCACCTGAGCCCAGCAGGTCAAGGTTGTGGTGGCCGTGAGCGTGTCACTGCACTCCAGCCTAGGCGACAGAGTGAGACTCTGACTCAAAATATATAAGAATAGAAAATAATAAATTTTTAAAAATTAAAAGCTCCCAGAGGACAAAGACCTGATGCCCCAACGGGGCTCTGTACGGATGCTGTATCACTCACCACGTGCACTGTGGCACTTCTCTTTGATTTCCTTGCAGCTTCTGGGCAGAGATGGGGACGGAGAGGAGCAAGTCCATTCCTTGGAGGAGGTACTGGCCGCCTCTAGAGAAGATGCAAAGTTTTATTCTGGTTGCTGGTTTGACACAGAACTCAGCCTTTCCTTGTCACTAGTCCCAAGCTCATACTAGCACTGTAGAAGAGCCTCACCGCCTGCTGGCAGACCCTGACATTCAGTACACATCCATTCAGCCCATCTGACCCGACATCCAATGCAGGCCTCGTGCATGCTGTCCTTCATTTGACCTCGTCCTTTTGCTGGACCCTGTCTTAAGTACTGGGCAGTCGAATAAATTAGCCTTCCCCTTTCATGGTCTCTCGTGGGTGTTGTGGACAAGTCAGCAGACAATTATATAGAGAAGAATCAATGATCAAAGAAAGACAAGCTGAGCGCAATGTCTCACACCTGTAATCCCAGCAATTTGGGAGGCAGAGGCAAGAGGATTGATTGCCTGAACCCAGGGGTTTGAAACCAGCACGGGCAATTTGGTGAGACCTCATCTCTACAATAAATCAAAAAATTAGCCGGGTGTGGTGTTGCACAGCTGTGGTTCCAGCTTCTTGGAAGGTTGAGGCAGAAGGATTACCTGATCCGAGTAGGTTGAAGATGCGGTGGCCATGAGCATGCCTCTGCACTCCAGCCTAGATGACAGAGTGAGACCCCAACTCAAGAAGAAGAAGAAGAAGACAAGCCCAAGAGAATAAAAGAAAGACCCTAAGGTGAGAATGGAGAGTAGAGAGGCCAGACTGGAGGCAGGGAGTTGTCTGGAGTAGGAGGCGGCTTGGGGGAGTTGTCTCATGTCTTGGTCACAGAAGGCCTCCTAGCTCAGGTGACACCTTAGCTTATTCTAAGAGGTAAACATGATTTATCAGTAGAAAAAAAAAGAAGAGAATTCAAGGCAGGAAGAACAGCACATTTAAAAACCTGGAGAAAAAAATATATACTCCAGTCTGTTAAAGAAATGTAAGTAGCTTAATGTGGCTGAAACATCGGGCGAGGTAGGGAGTGGTGAGATTGTGACCGAGAGACTAGCAGAGGCACAGAATGAAGAACCCTATATGCCAATCCCAGTTCTAAAGAGTCAGCAAACTATTTTAAAAGTCTTGAGGAAGGCCAGGTTTGGTGGCTCATGACTATAGTCCCAGCACTTTGGGAAGCCGAGGTGAGAGAATTGCCTGAACCCATGGGTTCGAGACCAGCCTGGGCAACTTGGCAAGACCTCATCTCTACAATAAATTAAAATAATAATAATAACAACAATAACAATGAAAAGAAATATAGATATTAAACCCCATTATCATTATTATTATAGAGATGAAGACTGTGAAAAGAACATTCTCTGGGCACACAGCAGACTATGCAATTCCCATCGGAATCCCATGGCCAAGGCCACAGGAGTGAAGAGCAAAGAGCAGCTGGGAGGGGACACGGTTCTCACCAGAACCCCCTCAGGACCACACAGGTACACAGCCTGGCCTAGGACGTGCCTCACTGCTGCAGGCCAGATCCCACAAGAAGTCAGAAAGCGACACTCAGCCTACATCCAAGTCAGCCTCTGGGCATCTCAAAAACACACCCTGTGGCCCCGGAGAGACCAGGATCCTGGGAGCCACCCTGCTCAGCTCTGTTCTGGAAGAGGGACTGTTGCCCCTTGGAGGTGACTCACCCGCGCTGCAGCCTCTGGTGGCCTCAATGAGTAACAGCAGGAAGGAGAACTGGATCATTGGAACCTGAAGAAACACAAGATGAAGGTCACCAAACTCCACCATCTTTTTTCTCTACATCCCTACCCCAACCCCTGTCCTATCAGTCCTACAGACTCTAAAGCCCCTTGCCTTTTGCTTAAGCTTCACACATCTCTGGGACCAAAGGCAGACCTAGGCTGAAACCAGAGATCCCCCCACTCACAGACTTCCCTCCCGCGCAGAGCGCTCCCTCCATCCTGCCACGGGTGCAGAGTTCAGAGTTGCCAGCGGGGTGCAGCTCGCTCTGCAGAGGCTCCTGATGTGGGGTGAAGCTCTGAGCCCTTTATGGAGAAAGCCCACTGGGGCCAAGCCTAGGCTTCCAGCCTCGCCCTCCCATGGCACAATTCCCAGTGCCCCTGAGGCCACTAATTATCTCAGGGCAGGTTGTTTACATAGCGATAACTCATGGAATTAACAGGCTGTACAGGACCTAAAATGTCTGTTGTTCCTGGATTTGGTAATTTCATTGACCTGTGTATTTAAGTTAAAAAAAAAAAGAAAGAAATTAACAATAGTTGGTGTTGGTTTGGGGTTTTGTGTCTTTCTTTCTTGCAAAATAAAAACTTTTTAAAAAATTAAATATCTAGGCCGGGAGCAGTGGCTCACGCCTATAATCCCAGCAATTTGGGAGGCCAAGGTGAGAGGATTGCCTGAGCCCACGGGTTCAAGACCAGCCTGGGCAACTTGGTGAGACTCCTATCTCTACAATATGTCAAAAGATTAGCCAGGTGTGGTAGCACATGCCTGTAGTTCCAGCTACTCTAAAGGCTGAGGTGGAAGGATCACCTGAGCCCAGCAGGTCGAGGCTGCGGTGGTAGGCAGCATGCCGCTGCCCTCCAGCCTGTGCAACAGAGCGAGACTCCAACTCAAAAAAAAAAAAAAAAAAGACAAGGGGAAAAGATGGATCATGTCTTCCCACGTCTCATTTTTCTAAAGTAAGCTTTTCCAGCGACCCCACCAGTACACTTTTCCTCATGTCTTATGACCAGAGATAGGTCACTTGCTATATTAGTTTGCTAGGGCTGCCATAACAAAATACCACAGACCTGGTGGCTTAAACAACAAAAACTTATTTTCTCACAGTTCTGGAAGTACAAAGACCAAGATCAACCTGTTGGCAGGCCTTGCTTCTTCTGAGGTCTCTCTCCTCGGCTTGCAGATAGTCACTTTCTCTCTGTCCCCTCACGTGGTCTTTTCTGTGTGCATGCACCCTTGTTGTTTTCCTATTACCTGTTTCATATCTCTTTTTTTTTTTTTTTTTTTTGAGTCAGAGTCTCACTCAGTTGTCCAAGCTGGAGTGCAGTGGCATGCTCACAACCACCACAGCCTCAGCCTACTGGGCCTCAGGCGATCCTTCCGCTTCAGCCTTCCAAGTAGCTGGAACTACAGGCATGTGCCATCACGCCCAGTTAATTTTTCTTGATCTATTATAGAGACCAGGTTGCCCAGGCTGGTCTCGAACCCATGGGCTCAGGCAATCCTCTCACGTTGGCCTCCCCACGTGCTGGGATTATAGGTGTGAGCCAACGTGCCTGGCCCATATCTCCTCTTCTTTTAAGGACAACAGCTATACGGGATTAAGGCGCACCTGAGCAGCCTCATTGTGGCTTAATCACCTCCATTTTCCTGTCTTCAAGCACAGTCACAGTCTGAGGTACCGGGGTTAGGATTCAACATATGAGTATTGGGTGGACACAATTCAGCTCATAGCAATGCCCACTCCTGATCTAATTTCTGGTCAGCAGGAGGGAACTATGCTAATTGGCCCAAACCAGTTGTCTGGACATGGGACTGATGTTGATGAGCTATACAAGAAGGCTTTCCTCTGACCGCCATTTCTTTTTTTTTTTTTTCTTCTTTTTAATTTTTATCTCTTCCATCTTGCACAAGGGGTGTATTAAAACAACCAAGCCTGGCATGGTGGCTCATGCTTGTAATCCCCGTACTTTGGGAGGCCAAGATGGGAGGATTACTTGAATCCAGGAGTTTGAAACTAGCCTGGGCACTGTAGCAAGACCTCATCTCTACAAAAAATTGTAAAAAAATTAGCCAGGTATGGTGGCCTGAGCCCAGGAGTCGAGCTGTGATCATGCCACTGCACTCTAGTCTGAGAGACAGAGCGAGACCCTGACTCCAAAGAAAAAGAAAGAAGAGAAGAAGAGGAGGAGGAGGAGAAAGAAGAAAGAAAAGGAAGAAGAATAAAACAAGACTTGAAGGGGAAAGTATCCAGAATTCCTTTTCGTCTTTTATCTTATGAAAGCCAGTTAGGGGCCAGGTGCGGTAGTTCGGCCTGTAATCCCAGCACTTTGGGAGGCCGAGGTGAGAGAATTGCCTGAGTCCACAGGTTCGAGATCAACCTGAGCAACTTGGCAAGATCTCATCTCTACAATAAATCAAAAAATTAGCCGGGTGTGGTGGCACAAGTCGTTCCAGCTACTTGGAAGGCTAAGGCAGAAGGATCACCTGAGCCCAGCAGGTCAAGGATTTGATGGCCACTGCCCTCCAGCCTGGGTGACAGAGTGAGACTCTGACTCAAAAAAAAAAAGAAAGTCAATTAGGTCTCCATAAAGACAGATTTACATTGTGTGGAACAGCTACATAGAAAAAAAGTTATGAGGCTAGGTGTGGTGGTTCAAGCCTGTAATCCCAGCACTTTGGGAGGCTGAGGTGAGAAGGACTCCCTGAACTCAGGGGTTCAAGACCAGACTGGGCAACTTTGTGAGACCTCGACTCTACAATAAATCTAAAGATAAGCAGGGTGTGGTAACACGCATCTGTAGTTTCAGCTACGTGGAAGGCCGAGGCAGAAGGAGCGCCTGAGCCCAGCAGGTCAAGGCTGCGGTAGCCATGAGCGTGCCATTGCACTCCAGCCTGGGCAACAGAGTGATACTCTGACTCAAAAAAAAAAATGCTATGAAATTGTCTTTGGTTTTAGAACGACATAGGAAAAAAGATTCAAATTCTCCAGTGGAGCAAAGTTATACAAGGATTATTATTATCATTATGTCATTGTTGCTGCTGCTGCTGCTGCTGCTGCTGCTGTTGTTGTTCTTGAAACAGGGAGAGCAAAACAAAGCCTTGGAATAGCAGCACTTCCCAAGGCCCTGAGCTCCATGCTAAAATCGCCTGTGGACATCCCTAACCCTCTGCTGCCTCCAGTGATGACCCACTCCAATTCCTTCTCCACACAGCGGCCAACAAGTCTCCTAAAAAGTGCAAACCATCCCACCATGCTATTAAAAATATCTATTGGCCCAGGCTCGGTGGCTCAGCCTATAATCCCAGCACTTTGGGAGGCCAAGGTGAGTGAATCGTGTGAGCGTGCAGGTTCGAGACTAGCCCCGGCAAGTTGGCGAGACCTCGTCTCTACAATAAGTCACAAAAAAAATTAGCTGGGCGTGATAGCGCATGCCTGTAGTTCCAGCTACATGGAAGGCTGAGGAGGAAGGATCACCTGAGCCCAGCAGGTTGGGGCTGCAGTGGCAGTGAGCGTGCCATTGCATTCCAGCCTGGGCGACAGAGTGAGACTCCAACTCAAAAAAAAAAAATTTGTCATTCTTCGTTACTAGAGAACCAAGTTCAAAGTCCACAGCATTGAGTCTGTAGCCGTTATCCACTACAACCACTCAAAAACAGTGGTGTAAGACAGCAATCATGTTTTTGTTCACAAAACTGAAATTTGAGCAGAGCTTGGTGAGGATGGCTTGTTTCTGTTGCACATGGGGTCAGCTGGGACATTTTAATGCCTGCTCTGGTCTGCAGTCACTTATAACTAAGTTGGATTGCTCACATGTCTGAAAGCAATCATGAACCCATGGCTGGAGTCATTGCGAGTGTGTGAACACCTGGTTCTTGCCCGTTCCACCTTTCTCATCCCCTTATATGTTTTAGATCAACTTGCCTGGTCGTGGACCTTCCATGTGCACCAGAGGACGAGAATCAGGAGAGGAGTTAAGTAGTAACTGCAGAAGCAGCAAGGAATGTCACTGCACTGGCAGCAAAGAGACTGGGGAAACAGAAAAATGTCAGGAGACAGCGGTTGCAGCCAACTGGTAGTTCCACTATCCTGCATCCGAAATCAGAAAGGGGGAAGAGTTTGAAAGGAGATTGTGTGCAGTGACAAGCTGGGCATTGTGGAGAAGTGGAGAGTGTTGAAAAGAATGCAAAAGAAGGAAGAGATAATTATTTTAATAGAGGGTTGCCTTCTGTGGATTTAAATTTGTCATCAATGGCCAGTCTATGTCAAATTACTTTGTCTATGTCTTTTCAAAATATACATGAGACCAAAAAATAGAGAGACAATATGTGTACCCCAAGAGAAAATAGTGGAGAAGAAATCACCTCACTCACCCACTCACTCCAGCCTAGCATCTGGATCTCCAAGTGACTTGGCTAGGTTTTATTATATTTTTTTTAAAAGCTTTATTGTAAAATGTACACATACGGAAGAGGCTATAAGACATAAATATGCACTTTAATGAATTACAAAAAGGTAAATACTCATAATTATCCTGGTCAAGAAATAAAACTGCCAGCACCCAGAAGCCTCCCATCTGCTCCCTCCAGATTACAGACCCCTCCCATCCCCAGAGGTAATTGCCAGTCCAACTGTCAGGTCATCAGCACTTCCTTGTGCCCCTGCCATATTGTTCTGAGTATCAGAGATGTATAAAATGTCTTGGCAGTCAGGAGCGGTGGCTCAGCCTGTAATCTCAGCACTTTGGACTCGGAGGGAAAGGATTACCTGAGATGAGGGATTCAAGACCAGCCTGAGCAACATGGCAAGACCTCATCTCTACAATAAATCAAAAACTTACCCAGGCATGATGGCACACGTCTGTGACTCCAGCTACTTGGAAGGCTGAGAGGAAAGGATCACCTGAGCCCAATAGGTCAAGGCTGCAGTGGCCGTGTGTGTCCCACTGCACTCCAGCCTGAGCAACGGAGTGAGACTTTGACTAAAAAAAAAAAGTCTTGGCAT